AATTATAAAGTCCTTTTTACCCAACTTCATTGACACTTTCTGGTGGTCAAATGTTAGTTGTTGTCATAATGGGATGAACCACCTGTGTAACCCCTGAAAACTTACTTCATACATCCATTGAACGTAACATTATAACCCATGCTTAAAAGTAGTTGCAAAGATGACTTAGAAAAGTGAAGTTAGTTCTGAAATCTTTTGTTTGCTCTTTGTTGGTCACTTGGTTTGATATTGTGGTAAAACTTTACAATAAGGTTAATTAGTTAACCTTAGTTAACAGGAACAAAGAATGAACAATACATTTACAGCATTTATTAATAGTCAATATTAATTTCAACATTTATTAATATGTCATTAATTAATAAAATAAAATTAATTAAAATACGTTATTAATATGTTGTTACCAATATTGTTTCTAATATAATGACATCCATTCATTTTTAGTTGTGTCCTACTTTAATGTATTGTTATAAACAAAACTACAGACAAAACTATTAGCATTCAGTTGCTCCCAAATCCTATTTGTCTATTCTCAAATAAGGAAATGTGTGTATAATTAATTGTTACTAGTATCATATGTTTCCTAGAATGTATGTGTATGTGTTTCAATACTTAGATAGATGTCAAAGTAAACTCTTTGTAGTTTCACCCATTTGCATAAATGACATTACTGTATGTCATAATTAGGGGACATAATGTTTATACATTGTCAAACACTCCCCTACCCTTTTTTTTCTCCATAATAAGGAACATATTGCTGAGTGCAAAGTTAATGGCCATTGTATTTCAACATCTGTTCCCAAGGCGCGCTCAGTGGCGGGTTCATTTGGAAACTGATGTATGACGGATTGGGGATTAAATGGAACCTATTTCCTTCAAGTTGATGAATTCATCATCTCTGAAACCTAACACAAACATAGGTAGCACAACCTATAATTAGTCTGTACGCTTCAGCACTTAAACCTATTAGCCACATCTGTCAGATTGAAAGGAGAAAGGGGACAAGAGAATGTGTGCTTAGTCAAATGATATGAGTTTTTAAGAGGGAGAAAAAGAAAATAGGCAGACGTGAATAAAAATAAGTTAAAAAGAAAAGAAAGGAAAAAGAAAAGATACTCTGCAGAACTTTTGTAGTTGTGCACTACTTCACACTGCAGACATTGATTTAGAGATCAGAGGTTAAAAGCTTTAGCTAGCAACTATTGAACTGAAGCATCTCCATCACTGAATACCTCAGACAAGATGTAAGTAAACATTGCACTCCTCTTTGACCCCTGCGGTCATTGTGTACCTCTCTATAGTCAGACAGTCAAGCGTTCAATACAACAGATCTCTCTCAGTCGTGACCTTCAGACCCCTCAGAACAACAGTCGTAAAGCTCTCACTGCCTTTTGTCTTCAATTCATTTACTTTTAAATGTCGTTTTATAAACGTTTGCCTCCCTGATATTTGTTTTGGTGGCTAAATTAGTGTAATGTTACACATACTGTATATATATATATATATATATACAGTGCCCTCCACAATTATTGGCACCCCTGTTTAAGATGTGGTCGAGGACTTTTAAAAATTCTCCCTTTTTTTTAAACAACATAGAATCCAAATGCAAAAAAAGAGAAAAATCCAACCTTTTATTTAAGTACATTACTTTGGTGGTAAAAAAAAAAATTTAAAATTTAAAAAAATAAAAACTTCAAATCATGTGTCCCACAATTATTGGCACCCCTGATGTTAATACTTTGTACAACCCCCTTTTGCCAACAAGACAGCACTTAATCTCCTCCTATAACATTTCACAAGATTGAAGAACACAGAGAGAGGGATCTTTGACCATTCTTCTTTGCAAAATCTTTCTAGATCATCCAGTATCCTGGGCCCTCTCTTGTGCACTCTCCTCTTTAGCTCACCCCACAGGTTTTCGATTGGATTGAGGTCTGGGGACTGAGATGGCCATGGGAGGACCTTGAGTTTGTGACTGAACCATTTTTGTGTAGATTTTGCCACACGTTTTGGATCATTATCCTGCTGAAAGACCCAATGACGACCCATCTTCAGCTTTCTGGCAGAGGCCATCAGGTTTTTATTTAAAATGTCCTGGTAGTTCAAAGCGTTCATAATGCCATGCACCCTAACAAGGTTCCCAGGGCCTTTGGAAGAGAAACAGGCCCACAGCATCACAGATCCTCCACCATACTTCACGGTGGGCATGAGGTACTTTTCGGCATACACATCTTTTGTTTTACACCAGATCCACTTAGAGTGTTTGTTGCCAAAAAGCTCAATCTTAGTCTCATCCGACCAAAGCACACGATCCCATATGAAGTCCCAGTGCCGCTTGGCAAACTCCAGATGTTTACGTTTGTCAGTGTTAGTGAGAAAAGGCTTTTTCCTAGCATGCCTCCCAAACATCTTGTTGGCATGTAGAGAGCGTCTGATGGTTGTTTTGGAGATTTTGTGACCCCAAGATGCCACTATTTGATGCAATTCTGTGACAGTGAGCTTAGGACTTTTTTTTACTTTTCTTAGCATCCTCCTCACAGTGCGTTGTGGCAAGATAAACTTGGGACCTCTTTCAGCCTTGTTTGTCACTGTTCCTGTTGTTTTAAACTTCTTAATGATTCCTCTAACTTTAGATATGGGCAATATAAGGTGAGTGGCTATTTTCTTGTAGCCATTGCCTGACTTATAAAGGTCATCACACATCTGCCTTACTTGAATGGTGTGTTCTCTTGTCTTTGCCATGTTGACAAATGGGTAAGAGAATTAGGCCTCTGTGTCATGTCATATTTATACCCCAGGGAAATAGGAAGTCATGAATTACTAATTAAAAGTTCCTAGATATCCTGACCAACATTAGCAACTACAGAAAATATATTTTTTTTTAAAAATCAATTACATTTTTCAGCGGAATTGTTAGGGGTGCCAATAATTGTGGGCCACAGGATTTGAAGTTTTTATTTTTCTAAATTTTTACATTTTTTTTACCACCAAAGTAATGTACTTGAATAAAAGGTTGGATTTTTCTCTTTTTTGCATTTGGGTTCTATGTTGTTTAAAAAAAAGGGAGAATTTTTAAAAGTCCTCAACCACATCTTAAACAGGGGTGCCAATAATTGTGGAGGGCACTGTATATATATATGAAACACCTTAGATGCACTTTTCCACTAAGGTACAAGTGAGAAGATGCATTAGTTGCAAAAGTAGTCGCTCATGTGTGTTTAATCACAAAGTTAAAGCTGGCAGATTTCATGTCCTTGCTAAAGCCAACATTTATTTGGAAAGCTACAATTGTCTGGATAAGAAAAAACAAAGAATTAATTGATTTGGGAGACTTTTTTTTACTACATTCACAGTAAACGTTTTTAGTTCCAAATAAGCTGTAGAAAGTGGTGCTGTTAAATATAATATTTTGAACCAATAATAGAGAAAAATATACAGAATGTATTGCCAAAAATATACAACTGACTGAAGCAGAAAAGAATCCTGTCCTACGTTAAATTTTCTGTCATTCAAACACACTTTTAATGTGTATAACAGAGCTTCTATAATAAACAAACAGCCAGTGGTGGGCCAACTGCATGCATTAATTTTTAAAGCTCTGCCCATTTTGTTTATGCACCATACAGCCCTTAAAATGCAAATGAAGGAGAAATCCACTTCCAGCACCTGCTGGTGCTTCTCTGTGTAGTTTAGGGATTGGACTGCCCTCATTTACGCTCAATCAATCATAAGCCCTTACTTTACTATCGAATTTATGTCACCTGAACACATGATGGGATTCCGACATGGTTTGGTTGTGGGCTTAAATAGAAATGAATTAGCCCATTTGCCACGTCGCATAGTGGAAAACAAAATCTTATTTTTAAATTGTCATAGTTTATCATCTGTGACAGGTGAAAGAAAACAGATTGTTTTTGGTGACAGTGTCAGGGAAACTATAAATGTGTGGTGCCGTCAACCACATACTGCTTTGAATACACATTTATTGTTTATTAACCATCATACAGCCACCATCTTAATAGTCTTTGGTATATAAGAAGAAATAAGTGGGTCTTCTCATTCGGTTGGACTACTAGTATAACAAATCGATCGAGTTTATTTTTATGAGTCTGTGAAGATAGAACATCTTGTTATAAATATGTCATATTTGCAGTCATATTTAATAAATGACTTTATAGCCATCAAGCCCATGTCATCTGCCTCATCACATGAATTCTAAACAGGGCCGTGTTTGGTAAATGAGTTTTAAGACATTTTGTGTAAGTGAAGAATGCTAAAGAAATGGCACTTTAGAGATGCAACATCAATTTGAGATTAAAATTTGGCCACCAAGTTTTGCATCAGACTATTACTGTTGGCAATTTCATTCAGTGCCATTTTGCTTTTGTGAAGTGCAGTTCATGGCCTGTTCTTTCAGGTGTTTTATAAATGGAGTGTGAAATGGTGAAAAGAGCAACACCATTTACTTACACTCCTTTACTTTTTAAAACTGATACTGTAGCTATTGAGGAAAACCTGCAGTGCATCTTTGACTGAGACACCTTGCCTTTTTAAAGAAATGCTAGTAAGGCTTGACTGAACCAATTGCCTTAAATGCCGGCTTTAACGTGTGTGAATCTTCTAAATCGTAAGAAAAAAAAGTTTAAATTATGGTTTGTTTGGTTGGGACTCCCCCCTGAAGTTCAAAGTTCACCATTAGTCGAATTAAGGGCCTGTTCACATATTGCGTCTTTTGCGCGCTCAAGTTCGTTATTTCAAATGTATCCGCGCGGTATGCGCACTCAAATGAAAATCGTTATCGAATTTATGGAATCTCATAATCGTTTTTTCCATGTGCGTCCGTGCCACATCGAGATAAAAACATCTCAACTTTTCAGAATGCCGCAAGCGCACCATAAGCACATAGTAGGTCACGTGACAAGAACCAACCGGAGCGCAACTGCCCTAGCCCTTTGGAAAAAGGAGAATATGAGTTAATCACTCTCTTTTTTTTTTTTTCTCAGGCTGGTCCCATAGCTGTTGAGCCATGTTCTGGGAATTGTGCTGCTGTGCAAACATTGCTGATGAGTCTTCCACGGGCATCTTCTGGAGTGCCTCCCCCCGGCCAGTGTGGTGAGAATTCAACATTCATTTAACATCTTAGCTTTGCTGTAGATGAAGTTGCAATTAATTTTCCACATGCAACTTTAACATGCAGTTGTGTACTCATTAATAATTTAGATTTGGTAGGTTTGTTTACATTAATTTCACTAGAGCAAAAATCTCTAAACCCATAAAAAAAAATGTCACTGGCATTGGCCGGTAATCAAACCCTGGCAGAGGAATGTAGGCAGGGTTTCAGCTTAGCATGCATCTACATGTTAATATTTTTGATTTGTTAAGTGTATTTAAATATTTATATACTTATTTTTAGCTATAGCAGAAATATCTAAAGTATAGTTGAAATAAAATTACATTTGTCAGGAATCGAACCCTGGCCATTGAACCCTGGTTTTAAAGGCCTATACAGATTATCCGCCAATACATCAATGCATCCCTAAACAACAGTCATACTTTTTAAATGTAAATTAAGTGTTCAATTCTATTTTGAGGTGGCAGTGGAACTATAATCTCATTTGCACCTGTTGCAGTGGGCCCAAACATTGGGAAAGGGGGAAGAAAAATGGATAGAGAGACAGTGTGCATCCAAACCTAGCCACCAATGCAAATGAATGAGAAAAGTTGGCGGAGTTTCAGCTTTAACTATATATATATATATATACTAGATTAAAAAGTAAATAAAATAATAGAAAGCATTAATTGTAAGATGCTCTGAGCAGCCAGATGGTGTAATTATGATATCTACCAGCAGGCACTAATGAGGCGAGCCAGCCAAACACTGACCCTTTAGATTCTGGCTGTGTACATCTCATATTTTTCCCCTCCTGTCCTTTCTCTTTTTCATCCTCATTTAACCAGCCAAACACTGACCCTTGTATTCTGGCTGTCTACATCTCATATTTTTCTCCTCTTGTTCATTCTCATGAATTGATTTTCTCATTGTTTCTGTGGTGTGGTTGTGCTCATCATGTAACCGTGATGAATGAGCTGCTGTAAAATGGTACTGCAGCAGGAAGTAGCGGTTCAGATACACAACACTTGCGGCACTCTGCAATCCAACAACATCCTCTGACTGCAATATGACACCGACACCACTGCACCTCAGTGAAAGACCGAAGAAAAAAAGAAAGATAAAGAATGGGAGGGGTGGGAAAAAAGGAGAAAGAGAGGAATAAAGGATTAAAGATGAGTTGAGAACAAGAGATAAATTAAATGTTAAGAGTCCAATAGTGCTGACTGATCAGAGGAATATATCTGACAGGGATAATGTTATCCCCGAGGAAAATCAAATCCAAATACTCCAACACACTCAGTAAATGTACGCCTTCATCCCTTAAGCCAGCCCCCTTATTCCTACACAGTAACTCACGCTAGGTCTATGAGGGACTAATACCTGCTCTTTGATTTATTGAACACTGGCACATGTGAATCTGTAGGCTCCTGCGCTGCTGCTTGTGATAAAGACTAAAAAGGCGTATTTGGCCTCAAGGCATATGACAGGTTTTTGGAGATGGTTTTGGTGAGAAGCTGGATGCCTTTGTATTTCGCAGACACATAACAAGAGTGAATCATAAAATATGCAATAACATTTCACCTTGAATTACACTAAAATTTAGACCGATTCGGCCTGCAGCGTGTGGTAATGCCACTCGTAGATAATGGAGAACATGTAAACAAGCCTTAAATCGAAAGAGTTCAATATTTTATCAGTGTTGAGGCAGAATTGTGGTTGCCTGAAGGTCTACTGAAGTATTATTTTCTTAAAGAGGAAGTGTGTCATTGCTGCACCACCCAACATAATTGAGAAAAATAATAATGATTGATAAAAACAATGATTGGAAAAAGTTTCAAACATTCCCATTTGTGTGGACTGTATGGATGCAGCCCAAATAGTAACCATACACGCCATTTGTACCTAAGATGTGTTGCACTAATTGGGGGTCTAAGAGGTGACAATACTCAAAGTTAGCCTGTTGCATATGAACTACTCAAAAAGGGAAAATGTCCATAAAAACATCAGAACATTGAGGCGAATTGACTAAAATGGGTATGTGAGGAGGAAGGCATCTCAGACTTGAGTTTGAACGGCAAGTGAAAAAACTATTTGGCTGGCACTGCTAGAGGTGCAAAAAATTATATACTTCTCCTTTAGAATAAAAAAGAAGGGCTGTCTTATGGCTGTCAATATACAAGTGGTTCAATACAAAATCAATGTATGTATACTTAACATCAGTTAAGTACCTTAAATAAATACCTTAACCAAAATAAATACCCTTAACCAAATGTTTAGTTCTTCCCTGATATTTGTGTGTATACTTGTACGTTTACTTGTGTGTGTGTGTGTGTGTTTGTGTGTTTTTCTACCCCGGTTGGGACTTCAACCTGAATAAACACACTCATACGGGGACTAGCGTCACCATGGGGACCTAATTTGAGATCCCTGTGAGGAAACAAGCTTATAAATAACACAGAATGACTTTTTGTGAAAATGTAAAAAAGTTTTCTGTGATGGGTAGGGTTAGTTTAAGGGGATATAATATACAGTTAATAGTGGTTAAACTGGTTAACATAGGGTGTGGGTGTGTACCAGCAATCCATTTCTTCTCAAGTGTGATACATCTTGAAAGTTGCAGATGAAGGGTGAAGTAAGGAGAGATGTCAAAATAGAAGGCATTTGGTGTGAAAAGTTGTCTTAGTTCATTCTTTTGCTTTCATCTGAAAAGCACTGAAGGAGAGGACAGGGTTGAGTCATGCTAGATCAAATCTGAATTGTGGATTGGAAACAATTTGTCTCTGAAGAACAATCCAAAAAAGCCAGCTTGACTGTTTTTAGTATATATTTTTGATTTGTAAAAATGCAGAAAGTTGTCAGTGATGGGTATGTTTATGGGTAGGGTTAGGTGATATGATAATATATAGCTTGTGCTGTAGAAAGTGCATGCATGCATGTTTTTTAAAGTTTGAGACACTATAAAGAGAGGACACACTGTAAGACACCATCCTTCCATCTCTGTTTCTTTATCAACAAGGGAAATATCTCAGGTGTGCTTAAAGATTCAATGAGAATAGCCAAAAAGTCAGTCTACTTGTTTGGTTGATTTAACAGACAGTTACATGGAAATCATACTGCTTTTGAGCCATAGAGTGATATTTCTTTTCTTCCATCATTTTCACTGTTAGTGTCTCTTCACTGGTTGCTTTGGGTCTTTAGTTCACCTTTTGGTACAAACTCATTTCAAATTATGGATTGGAATCAAAATGGCATTCAGAACCCATTTTATTCTGTTGTGTGACAAATTTCCAAGACAAACTTGATTTTATCCTGCAGGGTTTGATTGAGTTTGCTGAAACAATCTATTTTACCATTTAAAAGTTTGGGAGCAGATAACGATTTTTTTTTTTTTTTTTAATAATAATTTATTTAAAGACTTTATTCAGCAAGGATTGATTAAATTGATCAAAAGGTTCAAAATCTAAAAGCCATTCTTTTTTAAATCTCATTCTTTGTGCAAGGCTCCTTATAATAATGTAGGGCCCCATAGCACCTAATAGGGCCATTAGGGGAGGGTCTTTGTTTTTCTCAGGTGTGAAAAGCAGTAATATTAATTTATGGTTAACGCCGCATAAAGCTATCTTCCTCAAAGCACGTCAAACAATTTTTTAAAATACTTTATTGTCTTACCTGAATGAGTAGTCAGGAAGATTTTCACATAGTTTTGGAGCAAATACTCTAGGCTATGTGATACAATTTTCAAAACTCTTGTGAAGAAATAATCAGTATGGGTTTTATGACCTTATTTCAGTGACGATTTTTGGTTTGTTTTTTCACAAACCATGCATAAACGTCAGTATCTCAAAACTACAATATTTTACATACATACTGCTGACATATTATTGTAGCAGAGTTGCCATGAAAATGTCACAAGTAAGAGAAAAAAGTTCTCACAAATGTCAGAGCGTGTCAGAACCAGCACAGTCTCATCCCATTTAACGTCGGTTAGATGACGTTATCGGATCCTAACCCTACCCCAGACCTAAACCTACCCCGTCACCTAACTGACGTTAAAGGTAAAGCGTCAGTTGTATGACGTCCCAGGATCGTCATGTAACTGACGTTAAAGGGTACCCTAAAACGGCAGATGTTGACGTATGGTCAAAAGATGAGACTGTGTTATCAGAACACCTCCAGGACCCCGAGAACACCTTTAAACCCCTCAAGGGTTAAGAGACGATTTTCAAAAACATTAAAAAGGTTCTACCGGCCCCAAACTTTTGAACAGTATGACATCAGCAGAAAAGGAAAGACATTTCAGAAGAGGAACTGTTATTTTCTAATTAAAGGTATCGAAAGACAAATTTTGTTTTTATTTGGAATAACGTGCAGATGCGCAATGTGTCATGCACAATGTGTCATATCTTTTTTCAGTTACAAGCACATGCTGATTATGTACAATCTACCTATAACTTCTGTTTCCTTACATTATAGCCCTCATGAACACATACACACTTACACAGGTGAATGTAGCGAGTCTCACACTGAGAGTCAGGTGGAAACAGCAGAGCAGAACATCTGTTTGTAAGATAACAGATTGTTTCTCCTGCCAGTACAACCTCAGCTCTCAGACAACATGTCAGCAGAGCACTTGCAAAACACAATCCCAGTTTTCATCCATCTCATCTGCTTATTCTGATGAAGAGGTTCACCGCCAGGGATGATGTGTTGTGTACAGGTAGAAGTAATAAGCACTGAAAGTCATTCCAGTCCATCCACATTTCATTTTTACAGCTAACATTTCTGTCAACCATAGATCTAAGCCACATCAGAGCACAATAAGCATGGGATAATGAACAGTCTTCTGGCCATTGTGGCAAAATAAACCCCAACGGGGTGATCAAGATCCTGATGTGAAACCCCCTGAAGGGGTTTATTTTAGAATAATGGCCGGCTGATTATTCATTACTGCATTTTCCATTATCAAATATATAAATGTACCTTCAATATGTATTAGAGT